TGGAAATGCCACTCTTCCCCTACCATCAAATTTCCAGACCTGTGGCGAGCACTGCAGGGTGCTGACAGGAATCTGCCAGCTGGATCTGGCTGGCAAGGTGGAGGTTGAGCCCTACTAGCCTAGACTGACACTTCTCAACCTTTGATTCCACAGCCTTCTCCTTCCCTCTCCCATCTGCTGCTCCATAGCTGCTCTTATAGGCCACTTGTTAGGCACCCTGCAGATGCCCCAGCTAGCTCTATACATACTAAGAGAAGCAACAAAACTGTCTGCACAGCTCTGAGCCGGAGTAGCTGGACCTCCTGCCCTTCTTATCAGTCTTTGTTGCTCACCGATGATACCTCTGAAGCCCTCACTGTTTAGAATCACTTCCCTTGACACTCTCACATGTAACAGGTTGCATGCTATGTACTGTTAAGGCATGTGAGGAAGCTGTTTTTAAATGAATTTTTTATAATTATATCCTATTTTTAATAAAAGGGAAGAAAGGAAAAAAAAAAAAAAGAACCTTAGATACCAATGATGATCTCACAATCTGCCTTGTAAGGAAAAGCTCTGGATTGTTCATTTTTATCCTAAGGACTTTAATTAAACCTGCAAAAATAATGAATAAGAAGCTCAATCTTAACCCAGACTATCTGCATCCAATTTGATGTTAATGCGGGTTGGGGGTGTCTGAGGATAGGGAGATAAATAGCCCAGGAGAATCATGATTTGTGAAACTACAATACTGTTGCTTCCATTCTGATTCTGTTCAAGTTCATCAGGAAAGATTAACTTTGGCAGCTTATTCAGTGACTAAATCTTGATAGTTTTCTGCCTTAATTCATAACATAACTGTAAGCTATTGCCCTGTGTTTATATTTCCCATCCATTTCTCACATTTCCAAAGCATGTTGATATGTGATCCTGGTAATTTAGCTACCATAATTGGCATTTTTCTAGGGCCAAAAGGAAACAAATTCCTTATCCTCCATACTTCTTTAATTTCTGAGAAACAACAAGTAACATGGTTAATCCTCTTTTTGATCTTTTTTTTCCCCTTTGAGTTTTTCTTATATTCATTTCCCTTTTAATCTTTCACTTTCTTTTTAATCTTCATTTGTTGCTCCCCCAACATTTGAAGAACTTCATGTACTTATGTCTCTCAAGAAACTGAACTGCTTTATGGAAATGGCTCTTTAGGATCCTGCTCCAAGCATCATTCTGTAGTTGTAGATTTTTAGGGGGGAAAAAACCCCAAAACAAATGTACAGCAGCATTTGAGAGAGAGTTTTACTGCAATCTTGTTCTGCTAGTATCAGTGACTATCATGCAGAAAGGCTACACAGTAATGTAGATTCTAAGTTTCTGCAAGAATAAAGGAGCAAATAAGGATTCTCCTGTTCTTTTCCTGCCTGGGGTCTCCAGACTGTTGGGCTAGGGACAGAAGTTACACATAAGCCTGTTTAAGTGATCAGAAATTGGCATACACCTGTAACAGAACAGAAGTTCAGTGCACATAAACTAGTTTCAAAATGGCTAAAACTGGTTTAAGATTAACCTGGTTCAATGTAGTATTAGACTTAACTGATTTGGGTCAAACTGGTTTATGAAATTTGTGACCCAGACGCCTTTCTGGTTCAAGTTAAATCACAGTCCCCCACCATCCCAGCATACTTTCCAGCCCTGGGCTGTGCTGGGCTGTGCTGTGCTGTCTGCTCCAGAGAACTGGGCTGGCCCCATCCCTCTGCTCCCTAGATGGAGCAGTGAGGGCTGGCTCACAAGAGCGCAGGGAATGCAAGCCCAGCTGGGAATACAGGTGAGTCTATGGGGTGAGGGGGAGGACTGCTCCCCCTTGGCAAACCCCGTCTGGGGCTAGGGAGAGGGGTTAAAACCCCTTCCCCCACTCAAACTTACTGCTGACTGCAACTGTGGACTACAAATCCCAGAGGCACCTGGAAGCAGAAAGAAGAAGTGATCAGCAACTCTGCAGAATCCTGCTGCTGTAATTCTGAACTGCAAATCCTAGAGACCTCTGGGGCAGTAAGAAGAGGAAGCAAACACACAGCCAGAGAACTATGCTCTAGCACCCCCCGGCTTCTGGCCTGAGCCACTGCAGGCATGTGGCTGCATTCCTGGAATCAAAGGTAATTGTCTGTCCACTTCTGTTTTAATTTAATCTATGCAGTTTAGACTAAACTGCAAAGACTGAATTGATTCAGTCCTAAGCTTTTTGATTGTCTGTACTTAGCTTTGGTGTAGGTGTGGAGGAACAAGGGCTGTAGAGGAGTGGGTACAGCCAGCCAGGATGGCTAAGCTGATACAAGGGATGTTGTTACACGGGGAAGCAGCAAATTACTTCCCCTTCCTAGCCTCCTTGATGCAAGGAACTAACTGTCTCTCAGTTCCAAGGGATAATGCTTCACCAAGCTTACCTAAGAGAGTACCCAATCCTTGTTTCAAACTGTGCATATAGGCACATTGGGTCATTGAACTGTGGGAGTGGGTATTGGCTTGTAAACCTGTGGTTTGTAAATTTCTGGTGCATAGGTCCACAGAGACTTCAAACCCTTCCACAGGTGAGCTGTGTTCAAGCCATAAGGTCTTTCTCATGTGTCATCCTTGGTAGATAGAAGAAGGACCTGGAAGTTCTCAGAAGTGTTATAGCAACAACATAGGCAAGTGCGACAGTTATTTGACATTATTGGAAAGCAGGCTATTATTTGTTAATTTTTTAACCAATTTCTGATGTGTTTCCTTCCCAAGAAACATAGTGCTGCCAGCTCCATATTATGGACATGATTAACTGGGACAGTCTGTCATGATAGAAACACTTATAACCTACAATTACATTTCTTTTTTTCACTCTGATTTGAGTTTGGTAGCTTTAGTTTTGATGTATTCTGCTTTAAACATAATCAGAATCTGACCCTATTAAGGGACTGTTTTAACTAGGTAG